TCCATTTTGGAAAACGGACCGATCGCGTGACGTGCCACTAGGGGTATTGGGAAATGTAGTGTGCAGAGGGGACTGCTACAAATGGCATACTGGTGGGAGGGAGTGAGCAGGGAAAGATAGCATGGGCGTGTCGATCGGCCGGGGGAGTGGTTTTAATGCCAACGGCCGGGAGGTGTATACAGCTAATGGTGCTGTAGGGGTAGGAGGGGGAATGTGTGTGTGTGGGCGTGGACTATGTCCGAAGATTATTCAAATCTTCTTCATCTTCTTGTCAGCCCGCACCTCCCATGCCTCACCTCTCTGTCAGTCCCTGCATTGGCTTCCCATAAGATATAGGGCTCAATATAAAAGTCTGGTTCTTGCTTTCAAATCTCTATATAATCTACCACCTATCTATCCTTCCTAACATATTTATTTAACCAATCATTGTTAACAGAAGTAGTCCCAGAAGAGTGGAAGTTAGAGAATGTTGTGCCCATTCACAAGAAAGGTACTAGGGAGGAGTCGGCAACTATAGGCCAGTAAGCCTTACTTCAGTAGTGGGGAAAGTAATGGAAACCATGTTAAAGGATAGGATTGTTGAACATCTAAAATCACATGAATTTCAAGATCAGAGACAACATGGGTTTACTTCATCTTATTGATTTTTTTTTATTGGGTAACTAAAATAATAGATCAGGGTGGTGCAGTAGACATGGCTTACCTAGAATTCAGTAAGGCTTTTGACACTGTTGCACATAGAAGGCTTATCAATAAACTGCAAACTTTAAGTTTGGATTCCAATATTGTTGAATGGGTAAGGCAGTGGCTGAGTGATAGGCAACAGAGGGTTGTAGTCAATGGAGTATATTCGAAGCATGGTCTCGTCACCAGTGGGGTACCCTTAGGGATCTGTACTTGGACCCATTCTCTTTAATATTTTATTAGTGATATTGCAGAAGGTCTTGATGATAAGGTATGTCTTTTTGCTGATGATACTAAGATATGTAACAGGGTTGATGTTCCATGAGGGATAAGCCAAATGGCAATTGATTTAGGTAAACTAGAAAAATGGTCAGAGTTGTGGTAGCCGACATTTAATGTGGATAAGTGCAAGATAATGCATCTTGGACGTAAAAGCCCAAGGGATATGATAGAAACATTTAAATAAATAAAGGGAATCAACACAGTAAAGGAGGAGACTATATTTAAAAGAAGAAAAACTAGGGGGGCGGGGCCGGACCGCCAGGCTGAAAGGACGCAAAATGGAGTAGCTCCTGTAAAAACCTCCAGTTTTAGCCCAAAAAAAAAAACGGCATCAAGCTTACCTGACAACTGGCTGCCGAGCACCGGTGTAAGAGGCCACCCTGGTCCCGAGGAGAGGCTTGCTGAGCAGTTTTAGTCCCTCGGAGGGGCGATCCAAGTCACACGATGCGGACCGCTCGGGCGGTGAGCGAGGTGGACGGCCGCTGCCTGGCTATCCTGCCCACCAGTGGTAAGGCAGCAATCCGGGGTTAGGCGGGTCCGGCTCCATTCCCCCCCCTTTGGACCGGTGGGGGTGATCCCGGTCCCCACCCCGAGACCCACCGTACCACAACAAGGCCGGCGCTTGAAGCTGAGGCAGAGAAAGCCGTGTCCAAAATGGCGGAGACCACATGGCAAGTGACCCTGATAACAGCCGAGCGCACTCACCTCTCCTGCAGCCACACAGACAGATCGCCGAGCCGGTTGGGGTGAGAGCCGACAGAGTGGGTGCTAGGATCCCATGAGCGGAGCGGCAGAACAACAAAAACAAAAAGAACTGTCACTGCACACTGGTTTACCCTACCATACTAAGCAGCGCACCGAGAGGGAGTCGAAATGCATGGACTGATCATTCACAGCAGACGGGACGCCTGAGATCTCTCACCAGCCCACAACAAACACCTGACAGACCAGCTAACAAGAGAATATCAGAAGTGCAGCAGGCACCTAAGCTTCTCCCACCAAAGAAACTATCCTCACTGAATAAAGACTGTTCTCCTGACAGGCAAACACAGACCCTTCGCCTGACCGACGTGGAAACCACCTGGGGTGGACATTTTACAGTCTAATCATAAGGGTTACGGCTGCTTTAGAGTTTGATATAGCCACTCATGCTCTAGCCCAACATAACCTGCAACCACTCTCACGAAGCTTAGGCAGCTAAGAAAGATGGCTACTCATTATTGTAATCAGCCTAATAAGAGCTCATTAACCAACATGCAAAACTTTATCATTAGCAGTTATCAACCACTTGAATGGTAATGTTGTATTAAGCAGGGAACAATATGCATACTCATTTACTGCAGCCACTAGAATGTGACTGAGGCTGTCTTAAACAGTCAGTAAACTCGCTAACGAAGCAACGACAATCTACTAATGTGTGTAAGCATAGTCTAATTAATATATATGAATGTTACACTAGTACTCTAAGCGTGATATTTTATAAAATTAAATGTGCTGACAACTCCGTCATGATATTGTATACCAATGTAAAGCTTGTACTCGCTGTCGTGGCACTACAGGCCTGTTTGTAAAAGTATGCACAAGAAAAATAAAGAATTATATAAAAAAAGAAGAAAAACTACCACAACAAGAGGACATAGTCTTAAATTAGAAGGGCAAAGGTTTAAAAATAATATCAGGAAGTATTACTTTACTGATATTGTAGTGGATGCATGGGATAGCCTTCCAGCTGAAGTGGTAGAGGTTAACACAGCAAAGGAGTTTAAGCATGCGTGGGATAGGCATTAAGCTATCCTAGATATAAGATAAGGCCAGGGACTAATGAAAGTATTTAGAAATTGGGCAGACTAGATGGGCAGAATGGTTCTTATCTGCTGTCACATTCTATGTTTCTATGTAATACACAAGTATGTCCCGTCTAGGCCCCCAGACTCTGCCGAAGACCTACATATATCCTCTGTTTGTACTCCCACCTCTGATGCTCGCCTTCAAGACTTCTCTAGGGCTGCATCGTTCCTGTGGAACTCCCTTCCCTTCTCCGTTAGATGCTCACTCAGTTTCCACTCCTTCAAAAAAAATTTGAAAACTCACTTTTTCACAAAAGCATATCAATTAAATTGTTAATGACTCACAATTGATTCTTCTCCTGCCACTGTCATTTAAAAAAAAACACAGTTTTCATTGAATACTATTCTACCAATCTACTTCCCTAATACTATCCATACCTTTTGTGTCATTATACCCCACTCCCTCTAGCATGTAAGCTCATTGAGCAGGGCCCTCAACCCCTCTGTTTCTGTGCGTCAAACTTGTCTGATTACAATTACATGTATGTTAGTCCACCCATTGTAAAGCGCTACGGAATTTGTTGGTGCTTTATAAATATAATAATAATAACAAAATAATAAACACAATAATAGGTTGAGACACATACACTCACATTCACAGCTACAGTACACTCTCAGCACTTTCCCCCCACAGTTGTGTCTCTTTAGTGGCCCCTGTTCAACAAAACTGTCAGACTGGCAGTCCTCCCTGTCTGCATTCTGCTTCAGAGCACTCTGCATGTGAGGAGGCCATGGAGGAAAGTAATGTCACTTCCCCTCCTCCTCACACACAGAGTGCTGCGCAGGGAAAATACAAGAGATTGCTGTCTGCCGCGGTGGGCACAAGGAGCGGGACACCATCATGCTGCCTCTAAATTCTTGCTAGCCATTGCGCCTTTGTCATAGGGAGTAATTAATGCGGATGGCTGATTGATATGGTTCTGATAAAAATCGATCAGCCCCAGACTATAAGAAAGGGAAAATAAAAAGATGCATAATGAAATGACAGCTGGTAGGGGCAAGTGTCGATCCTCCTATCCCGCTTGACACCCTGAGACCATTTCCTTTGAAGCCTTCCAAATTCAGGCCTTACTCCTGGTTCCCATTGAAATAGCATTAGGGCCAATTTTGGTGTCTCAAACCAGCGTTTGAGACAATAATGCTTTAAAGGGACACTATAGTCACCAGAACAACTACAGCTTATTGAATTTGTTCTGGTGAGTAGAATCACTACCTTCAGGCTTTTTGCTGTAAACACTGTCTTTTCAGAGAAAATGCAGTGTTTACATTACAGCCTAGTGACAACTTCACAAGCCACTCCTCGGATGTCTGTTAGAGATCCTTCCTGGTTCATGGCTGCTTAAAATGCATCCAAACATTCAGTATATTCTCCCTCTGCATGCAGACACTGAACTTTCCTCATAGAGATTCATTGATTCAATGTACCTCTATGAGGAGATGCTGATTGGCCAGGGCTGTGTTTGAATTGTACTGGCTCTGACCCCGATCTGCCTCTTTGTCAGTCTCAGCCAATCCACAATCATTTTAGTGTGTGTTTAAAAGCTAAGAAGACATGAACAAAAGTTTTAATATTGTTTCTGTTAGAAATCCAGTAATTTATATCTCTCACTTGCCTGGTTCTTGATTAGCACATTTATTCCCAGTACTAAAATTGTGTTTTCTATACACACCATTATGGACTTTTAACTGAAATGTTGCTCTTTTTGTTGCATGTACATTCACAGCATTTTAGTAATGTTTTATTGTGTAAAAAGTAAGGCAAATTGATTGATTGATAAATTGTAGTCTTATCTTGGAACCCAAACAGTGTTTTTAACCCCTTAAGGACACATGACATGACATGTGTGACATGTCATGATTCCCTTTTATTCCAGAAGTTCGGTCCTTAAGGAGTTAAGGAACCTGGGAAAATTGCTAAAGTTCAAAAACTAACTTTTTGGTAGCTAGAGCTTCCTGAAGTAAGAAACATGCAGGTGGCCATTTAGATGGCTATGCATGTGGCATGCCAGATATGTGTATATATAAATATATACTGTAATTAGCAGCCATTCACCGCATGTATGAAAACAGTTTGCTTCAGCACTATATATATATATATATATAAATATATATACACAAAAAAATAATTCCTGCACTCCAACCTTAAAAGTATATAAATACCTGGTGCTCTGGTTGCAAAATTAATAGTCCAAAAAGTTACCGGCACTCACGGTTTTCTCAATTAGTATCTCTTTATTCCAAAAATAATATCGATATTATTTTTGGAATAAAGAGATACTAATTGAGAAAACCGTGAGTGCCGGTAACTTTTTGGACTATATATATATATATATATTGGAGAATCACTGGAGAATTTTTCCAGTGTTGGCCTTACATTTTTTATATTAACTTTAATCTCCCAACAATTTTCAACTTAGTGAATAACTCTGTAAGGCCTCAATTTATTAAGTTTGGATAAGCTTTTCAAATGGTTTAATATTCTTGGGTAAATTTATAAAATGATTTAATATTATGAAAAATATTTTAATATTTTTAAAAAGTTAAATATATTTCGTATATAGGATATTTTTTTGATATTTTAATATTTTGAAAACAATATTTTAAACGTTTATTCCAAATTATTAAATAATTTCAAAAGCCTATCTAAAAATATTGAATTGAGGCCAAAAAGTGTACAGAAATACCCCTTCCCCCACCCCCCCAACCAGTGTAGGTTTGTTCATATGGGCACTTGGGGCAGCATCCCATTAGTTTTTATGTGGGGAAAAATATTTGCAGTAGTTTTGAAACACTATTATTCTTTTTCTGGAGGGGAAGTAGGTAAGCCAAAAAATATTGGGAGAAAATATTGTCTCTAATTCTGCTTCTCCCCTTCCCATTATTGGTAGCTGTTTTACTTGAGAGCAGTGGCGTCTCCAGCATTCATATTTAGGGGGACACATGGGGGGCCAGGGACAAAAGTAGGGGGACAATTACAAAACATGTGTGTATGCGTATGTATGTGTATATACACTGTGACAAACTCCCCTTTTTAAGGGAGTTTGTCATGAGTTTTTGGAAATGCCTGCTTGCCAGCCTCCTACCCTGGGACTATGGGCCCTGTGATAACCCATGTTCAAAAGTACTGTTTCTGCCCCTTGAACTTTTAACTGGAACAGATTCAAATATGTGGCGGCAGCCATCTTAAATTGTCCAGCAGTGTTTTGTCGTTGAGTGTATGGAACTATTTTGTGATTGGGACCATGTGCACGGTGGGGCAAAAATAAGACTTCCAGGATTTTCCTGAACCCCTGAACTGATCTGGGTGATTTTGGATATGTTGTTCACCCAGATTGGGGCTATCAGGGGATGTGACTTTTGTGGGGATATGTTGTATTTTAGGGTACTTTTGGGGGTTTGTAAAAATGTATGTTTTTTTCTGCTAAAGTTAATTGAGTTAGTCCATTGTCTTTATTGATTGTATCACAGGCAGAGGGGAGGGTTTGTGTACAGTAACTGGGAGTGTTCAAGTGTAAAACTCTGTTTTTATTGGATTGTGAATTTCATGTTCTGTGCCCCACAAGGTCCACCTGGGCGGTAACCTTGTGGGGAAAAATTGTATAAAAGAGCAGCTGTACCATTAAACCTTCAGTTCTACTTCACCCTCAGTCTAGAGTCCTGTTTCTTATTGGGGGAAACCGCTACAAGGGATTGCTATGCTCTTCATACTCCCTTGAATAATCACTAAGCTCCTGTCCCTGCTTCACTCTCTGGGGAAAGAGAGGTTCACCCACTGGAACCTGGAGCCTTGTCGTAGGTCCAGGGTGGGTAGGAGACGGCGAGAACCCAACTAAGCTGCGGTGGTTCGTGGGGTCTGCAATGCTTATGGTGTCAAGTGGAGTGCTTGGAGCCCTCGGCAAGCACAAGGAGCATCCGTCGGCGGAGGTACCCAACCAGGGTACAGGAAGCTCAGTTACATATACATATATACACATACATGCACACACAAACATGGAGAACATTTAAAAGTGAACAAAATTCGGATTTCCAGCACCTTGTTAAATGTGCTATCTGCTTTAGATATGCCATTGTAACAATATCTCATGATGCCAGAATGGTTACAAAACTATAGTGTTTCTTTTAAATAGTTATTTTTAAAAACTAAAAATGGTTGGCACTAAAGTTTGTGCCCAGACCTATAGTTGGTGAATACTATACCAACACAAACTAAATTACTTGTTTCATTCTCATGCTCACAATATGGAATCCTGGGTACATACATATCATTTACTCAAAAGCTTCAATTAAAGTTCATGTTACTTTCAGTAGTAGTGCCACTGTCTGGCGTGTCTGCTCCGCTCACTCAGTCCTTCTGCAAACTGCACTCTCAGGTAGGTAAGGTTTCACAGCTTATGTGGGGCCGCACTGCAAGCTGTCTGCAATCTCTGGTAAGTAAGCTGACACTGTCACACCACTGTCTGCAATCTCGGGAGTAAGTGCCACTGCCACACCACTCACTGTCTGCAATCAGCGGTAAGTAACCTTTGTCACACTCACACCACTTGCTGTAATCACTGCAATTAATTCACTTTCTCAGAACCTAGATGTGGCACAGGCCACTGGCCACAATACCTGCTCCTCTCTGCTTGCTTGTTCTGCTCCTATCTGCTTGTTCTGCTCTGCCACTCGGGAGGAGGCAGCAGCATGGAGGCAGAGGAAAGGGCTGGAGTGAGCTGCTGCTGCATGCTCACTCCCATCAGCCTCAGCCACCAACAGAACTATTAAGTATACATACAATGTGACACACTCTCACTAACACAAACTGTTAAGTATACACACAATGTCACTGACAAACACTGTTAAGTATGCACATAATGTCACACACACTCACTAACACACACAGTGATGCCACTGCTTGAGAGCACCAAGACAGATAAAAAATGGAGCAGATTTGAAACCTGTCCTGTTTCAGCAGGTTTTGCTCATGCCTAGTGTCCTTTAAGAAGGAAATTCCAGAATATCCATTAAGTTGAGTTGCCATTCGGGCAGCAGAACCACTGCTCATGAGTGGAGGCATTCTATTGGCCTCTCTATTCATGGGCCATCATTGGCTGATAGCACCAGGGGTTAGGGTTAGAGTGCTCACAGGAGAGAAAAGCAAGAAGCCTTCTTGGAAGTAACAGAGATAGAGAGAAAGAGCACAGCAATAGCAGGAAGGGGGGGCAGTGGCGTACTAAGGGGGGGGCGGTGGGGGCGGTCCGTCCCGGGTACCACTCACTAAGGGGATGCCCAGGCCGAACTTTCACGGGGGCGGCATTTTGTCTTATGTGTCTTATGAAAAGGGACCGGTGTGCCGCGTGTTCGAGTATCCACGCGATTTCCCATCCAGCAGCAGTAGGTCCTCTGTTCTTGCGATCCTTGGCAATGCTCTCGCGGATCGCGAGAACAGAGGACCCTGCTGCTGCTGCTGGATGGGAAACGAGCATGGAAAGTACTGGGCCCCTCTTCACTGCCCAGTGATGCTGTGCCACCGGATCACCAATCGAGGAGGACAGGACGGGCAGGTAAGTGGCAGCGCCTATTCCACACAACATACACACTGCATCTGCACACACTATACACACACTGCATACACACACTGCATACACACACTATACAGACACTGCATACACTATACACACACTACATACACATTTCATACACTATACACACACTGCATACACATACTGCATACACTATACACACACTGCATACACACACACTGTATACACACACTGCATCCATACACTGCACACACACTTCATACACTATACACATACTGCATACACACACTTCATACACTATACACACTTCAAACACTATACACACACTGCATACACACACACTGTATACACATACTGCATATACACACTGCATACACACTTCATACATTATACACACACTGCATACACACTTCATACACTATACACATACTGCATACACACACTTCATACACTATACACACACTGCATACACACACTGTATACACATACTGCATACACACACTGCATACACACTTCATACACTATACACAGACTGCATACACGCACACTGCATACACACTGCATACACACACTGCATACACTATACACACAGCATACACACACTGCATGCACACTTCATACACTATACACACACTGTATATACACACACTGTATACACTATACACACATTGCACACTTCATACACTATACACACACTGCATACACACTGCACACTTCATACACTATACACACATTGCATACATTATACACACACTGCATACACTATACAAGCGCACACACTGCATCCACTACGCAAACACACTGCATCCACTATGCAAACACACACTTATACCTGTGTATCTGTATGTCTGTGTATCTGCATACACTATACACACACTGCACACTTCATACACTATACACACACTGCATACACACGGCACACTTCATACACTATACACACACTTCATACACTATACACACTGCATTCACTATACAAGCGCACACACTGCATCCACTACGCAAACACACTGCATCCACTACGCAAACACACACTTATACCTGTGTATCTGTATGTCTGTGTATCTGTATGTGTAACTATTTGCGTGTCTGAGTTTGTTTCGGTGTTCAGTGCCAAATACATTTAAAAAAATTGCAGTTGTTTTTTACATTTCAAAGTTGGGGGGGGGGAGGGGTGCCAAATAAGGATCCGCCCCGGGTGCCAAATACTCCAGGTACGCCCCTGGGGGGGTGCACATTTCTGACACAGAACACTGTCCTGCCTGTCACTAATAGTTTTAATAGCTCCTACTGCACATATCTTCTTTAAAGTGCTCAGTCATTCTACAGTGAGACACTCTGTAATGACTGTTGATTCTGTTACTCATGTCAGCTGCTTCTTGAATCCATATTACCCCTGAGACACTCACACTGTGGCTAGTTGAAATGTTGTGAAGCTTTAAACTCCAAGACTGGGGCTGTGACTCTGAGCATGATCTTATTCTGATTTCAATCTGTTTTAATCTGTAATGATTGTTGATTCTGTTACAATGTCAGCTACTTCTTGAATCCATATTCCCAGGGCCGGCCTATCTATAGACCGCGGTGGAGCCACGGCTGCAGATGGCACTCTGACAGGGGAAGCATTTTTCCGCCCCTGTCATAATCTAAAACAGGAGTCCCCAACCCATGGCAGTGGAGCGGCAGCACCGCACGGGTTAGGAACCTGTGTAAGGGTCCATCGGCTGGCCCATGCCCTTAGGGCCACCCGAAGGACATATGCAATGAGGGGCCCAGTCGTGTGCTGTGGCACTTTA